CGGCAAGCGTGGCAAGCGGCTGAAACCTTGTTTGCTTTTACGAAGTTACTTTGGGAAAGAGATGACGATCTTCTCCGCATACGCAATGCTGGAGCCAGGAGGCGAAACCTTGTCTTGCTCCCGAAGATCCGACTCTATGGTCACTGCAGGGGATTGCCAATCACCGACGGGGAGGTTCTGCTGACCCACTCGTGCACGAACAACACCTCCACGGCGATGGAAAGACACCAAGCCGATCTGACCATTTGCCGGCTGCCACAGGCGGATCGTCATCTCAAGAACTCGGTACCAGGCTCTGCGAGGGCATAGCACGAGTGCGGCACGTGAGAAGTTTGCTCTGTATCCGGATCATCCAATCGCAATCTGGCAAATTCAGCATCGGGTTTATGCTGGCGTCGCGCTCCTCGAAGTGGTTTTGGAATTGAATCTGATCAGCTTGAAGCCGATCGTGCCCACGGAGCGTCGATCTGGGGAAGGCGGGTCATGATATGGCAAGAAAGGCGACCAAGAATAGGCGCCAACGTCGACCATCGACGATGACCAGCCAGACCCACGCACCCGAAGTGTTGCAATTGTTCGTATAAGAGTATGCAACCTTCGTCAAACCCATCATTTGCCATCACCCTTCACTCCTCTTCCTCCTTTCCATACTCACCGCCACAATGAAGACAAGCTTCCTGTTGCTCGGCCTCCCGGCTCTTGGGTGGGCCTACCCTGGGATGCTGGGCGTCTCCTCCCGCGAGGAGGCTCTTGAGTTCCTCAAGGACAAGCGCGAAGCAGAGCTCGAGGAGCGCCAGCTTCTCTCAGGCCTGATCGGGAGCGTCGCACAGATTGTTAGTGATGTTAGTGGTCTTCTTGGCAGTGTGGCTTCAGCAGTGAACCCCGACAACAAACGTCCCGAACCGGGTTATGTCTTCCAGGCGCCCAAGTCTACCGACTCTCGTGGCCCTTGCCCGGGCCTCAACCTGCTCGCCAACTATGGTTACCTCCCTCGTGATGGACACGTCACCTTCGACCAGGTTATTGAAGCCACCGCGTAAGCCTCGATATGTTGCATTTTTCCGAACATCAAGCTGACATGATCCAGACGTGGGTTTAATATGTAAGTGAACTGATCACTGAAACCCTTGAATGCTTGAGACAGTCCCGGATTGGCCGAATGCTGTACAGCTGCTGCTAGTGGCTTGCCGTGTCTCGAATCAAGTCTCCATCCCAAGGCTGTCTCGCAGCACTAACGTCAGTCAAACAAAGAGCTAACTCTTATACCCATCACTTTTAGGGGTGCAGATTTGGCCACCGTGCTCCTGGTATTCACCATTCTTGCGGACGGTGACATTCCAACCCAGTCTTTCTGTAAGTCTGCACGACATGACCCATATGTGGGACATGATGGCTAATACCCTTCGTTTTGCACAGATCTTGGGGCCGGACCTTCCGGCATCGGAGGTCTGAATCGTCACAGCACTGCTGAGGCCGACGTCAGCCCCAATCGCGAAGATTTCTACCTTGGCTGTGGCGACAACCACCACCTCTCATCGCGCATCTTCCAGCAGAACGTGTACTACGCCGCCACGGATTCCTCCAAGCAGTTCACTCTCGGTGTGATGTCCAAGCAGTGGGCTGCCAACAGCAAGTTCTCGGTCAAGAACAACCCATACCTTTACTATTTCCCTTTCCCCTCGATTGTTGCCACAGCGGCATACAACTTCTATCCTCAGTTCTTCAGCAACGGAACATACGGCGCAGGAGGCGTCGCCAACTACGAGTCCATCTCTTCCATCATCGGCGCACAGTTTGACACCAAGACCGGCAACTTCAAGTACGTCCCTGAGCGCTGGCCGGCCAAGGGATGGTACAGGCGTTCCACACCTTATGGTGCCGTCCAGGCCTTGACGGAAGCATTCACCTTGATCTATCCCAGCAACCCCATCTCCATGGTCTTCCCTCAGCTGCAGGGCGGCAATTTCGATGCAGCGACTGCCCTTTGCTATATCTATCAGGGTATCAACTCGATCACTCCTCTTGCGTTGGCTGGCGAGGAGCAAGAGATTGGAGCTGGTGTTACCTGGGCTCTCGGCAAGCTTGCTGGCGCCGGTCTGGACTTGACTACGCTTGGCTGCCCCAGCAGCACTCTCAGTCCCAACGAGTTCCTCTACCCGAACGCCACTCAGAAGGGAGGACCGCTGAACCCGCCGGCGAGTGTCCAATCCAACGTCGGCAACAACGTCTATGGCAAGACTTACTTCACCTCCGCGCCGACCAAGCCGAAGTGCCAGCACTCTTCCTAGACAGTGTCAGCACGGCGCCGATGGAGTGGGGTGTTGCTATGACAGGTCATGTCATTAACGATCTTGTATATACTGTGTAACGCCTGAAGCTTGGCTTGTACCATTACCTGTTTACTGCTCTTCGGGCTGCTGTTGCTTCGCATGGTATTGATGCCATCCTTACTTACCCACGCGCTGTAAGTGTCCACCTAGTCTGTAGCCTACTGCAGGCAGGTCATGTGCACACCATCACGAATGCTCGGAATTACTCCATGCTGCTTGTAGTTTCCTGCTCTAAGCACAGGTCGAGAATAGTACGCAGTAGCAGGATCTGGCCTAGGCTTGAGCACCGGATGTGTCGTGCGACAAGACACGCCGCCTATACCATGTCCACACGCGGCGGAATTGCCTGCCTGTCACTCAGTGCTTTTGTGCTTGTGCTTGTGCCCGCAATGTCCCAGGCAGACATGGGGTGATGCAGGCGGCCTGATTGGGAACAATGGAGTTGAAGTCGCCCTCACCAGCAACGAGCGGCGGCCAGGTCTTCTTGAGTATGTGATTGCTCACACTTTCCACGCGATAGGAACCTCCTACGAGAAAGCAAGATCGATGAGGAGGTCCATGTTAGAGATATATATACCGCGCGTGTTCCTGCACGTCTGTAACACGAAGTGGAGATTGAGTCGAAGTGCGGCTGATCTCCCGAGAGGGCACTTTTGGAAGGCGGCGGCTAGCACCTGCACCTGCTGTCTCGAGCCACCAACACGCTCTTCTCCTTCACTGGCCCATACACACTCTAATACACGCTCGCTCGCAGTGACCGCACCTTTCCAGGGTGCGACCGCTGACTTTCATCGCCTTCCAGCTTCCACCGCGCTGCGCGCTCCCGTCAGCCTTCTCAACCACGACAAGCGCTTAGAAACAGAAACAGCACAGCACGACGCCTTCACGATCGACCCACACACCTTGCACGACCACGTGAGAAAGCAAACAGAATCGCACACGAGCGCCGGCTGGCCGCGCCTACGCAAACCCGACTCTTTGCTATCCGCCAGCAATCCTCGCTGTTTGCGCCCTCCCCGTCACCGTGCGGCACCCTACATATCCCAACTCTGATCGGACTTCATGCCAAGCTTCGGTAGCACTCACTCGCCATCGCTGAAGAAGATGGACTACAACAACAATGGCCGCGGCAAGTTCAGCCTGGGACACATCGTGGGCGACCCGTTCTCGCTGGCAACCATTGGCATTGCGACGGTGAGTCGGCAGCGTTTCAAGATTGGAAGTAGTCTCAATCGCTAATGGATTGCAGGCCGGCTGGCTCATAGCATTCGTGAGCTCAATCATTGCAGATCTCGGCCAGGAGTACCCCAACTACTCGTGGTGGTCGCTCGCATACATGTTCTGTCTCATCATCGGCATCATAGTCGCAACTGGATTTGATGCCATATACACGTATCATGTGGCCATCGTTGGCTTCCTGGCGGCCGGAATGGTCTTCACGACCTCATCCGTCAACTCGCTGATATACTGGCCTACCGGCTCGAAGGAGGCGGCCGCGGCAGGCTTCATACTCATGTCCATGGTTCAAGTAAGGCTGCCGACTTCTCACGAAGAATGCTTGCTGATCAGCGCGACAGATTGTATGGATCTTCTACTTTGGCTCACAACCATCAGCAAGCCATCGGCAGACAATAGATTCATTTGCGCTGCATAAAGACCGCGCACCCAGCCGCAGCAGCAGGCACATGACGCAGTCTTACGCACGTCCGGAAACCACCCACTCCTCCAACCAGCCACCGCAGATGTACAATGCCAACCAATTGGCGGGCTTTGAGACCTCTTCTCCAGTGACCGGCTATCCAGGCGGTGCAATGGGTGCCAGCAAGCGTGAAAGTACTTCTGCCTTCCCGCAACCTGGTCAGAATCACCCACTGCCGCATCAGCCGACGCAGCAAAGTCTGGCTCCCACGCAGCCCACGACTGCGCAGTCAGCCAATGCACCGTCACAGCAAGATAGCGCAATCAGCGCGCCAACCGAGTACCCGTATCGTGCGAAGGCCATCTACAGCTATGAAGCCAACCCGGATGATGCGAACGAGATCAGCTTCAGCAAGCACGAGATCCTCGAGGTCAGCGACGTGTCTGGCCGATGGTGGCAAGCGAAGAAGGAGAATGGCGAGACGGGCATAGCGCCGTCCAATTATCTGATTCTGCTATGAAAGCACTTTGTATGCAGTTGCTATATGACACACGCCCCGATCAAGGCCATTATGGACATATGGGACGAGGGTGGTGGAAAGGGATCGGGTTGGGTTGGGTTGAGGTGTGCTGTTTGGCGACGGCGTTATGAGGTGCCTTTGCGCTTTGCCAGGCAAGGCTGCGACGATACCAGGTTCCTTTTCTGTTTGTACGTTGAGCGGACAAAATCGTTTTGCATTCATCTCTTTCTTTTCTACCTTTCTTATCTTCTTACTCCAAGAATGTTCGCGGCCCTCGACTGCATTGCGATTTAGGTACACGGAAGGGCTCCTACAGCTCGACACGACTTCTACTCTTGTCAAGCCTTTCGGGTACAACAACATTCATTACCTCCACAACCCACTGGATATTCGGCAGAACCACGGAGCCTAAGAACCGCTTACAAGTACAGAATTTTCTGCTTTGCCGGCTATAGCCGCGTTCTTGGGTATGTTTCAAACCCATCACCTGTCGCTACAACATCTGCTAACATATTGCCTAGTCTAATGGTTAGGATTGCTGCCTTCCATCTCTATTGTGAGCAGCAGGTTCGGGTTCAATTCCCGGAGGAGTAAGTCAATGTGTCCTCCATGGTCATTAATCCATAGCTAACATCCATCAGCGCATCATTGTACCTATCACACTGGGTGTTTCTTTTTGGCCTTTCGTCTCCCGAAAAGTGGCTCTTTGCGTTTGGCCCAGCTGGGTGCAAGCGCAACCCGGCAGGAGATCGTTTTGGCACCAACAATGTGCTTGGAGCGGCTTGAGATCATTCGGTTCGAAGCATGGGATAGGTTGCTACGATCGGGATGGTCGCTGTTCATGCCTGTGACGAGCTTCCCTTTCGTCACTCTACACTCCTATAGTACCAGGTTCTTATCGCATATACGCTATAAAGTGGACTGGAAAAGGTCTGATGTTGTCAAAAACGATTCGTTCCATCTACATAACACGGCATCAATTTCCACCACACCCCAAACGCCTCGAGCACCTCATACGCCGTCATAGATGTACATGCCCACCGTTCCAGCAGTGCAATGTAACGATCAACCACTCCTCTGGTACACACCGACAACCATGGCGTGATCCCTCTCGAACGGTTCCAACGTCAGCTGCTCCTTGGGCTTGATGCGCTCCTCCCTGAGCTTAATGACCTCTCGTGCGAATACCTGCTCCGGCGGCGCAGTCGAATCGATACAGTTTGCCTTGATCGATACCACAACACCACCTCCGACCTTCAAGAACTGATGTGCGTTGAGTCCGACAATACGGGCCTGATCGGGTTGGGCAACGTCGGCAAAGATGCAGTCGACCATGCTGACGAGCATGCGGTACTTGAGCGGGTGGCGGGCGTCCTCGATGATGGGGATGACGTTCGTGCGGTGGGTGGCCATGTTGATCAGATCTCGTCCGCTGCGGTGCGAGAACTCGACTGCGAAGACTGTACCGGTAGGGCCAACGATATCTGCGACGTGGGAGACGGAGGTACCGGAGGCGGCACCAAGGTAGAGGACCTTGCTTCCGGGCTTCATGTGGATGTCCTCGAGACCACCAAGAATACCAGCTGCTAACTTCGAGCGGAAAGGATTCCATACACGGTACTCAGTCTTGGTCGCGATGGGAGTATCGCCGTTGGTCGCATCGCCAGAGACTGCGCCGGGTGTGTCGATGCTGATGCGCTTCTCGCCGTAGACGGCCTCTCCGGGTGTCAAGTTTTTGGTGACCAGAAGATCTTCCTTGCCGCGTGCGACGAAGACGCCGGCGTGTCTGTGTGGTTCCTGGGAGATATTAGTACATAGCAGATGCAATTTGGTATAGATGCTCATACGATCACAACTCGCTGTCCACCCTTTGCGCCAGCACCTCCACGGCCACCGCGTGCTCCTCCGCGTCCACCTCTGTCACCTCTTCCTCCTCCGCGTCCACCGCGATCGCCGAAGCCGCCTGATGTATGTTAGTTGTGATCGTAGTCCAGTAAATTCACGATCTGTCCTACCTCGCGATCCACCACGTCCACCTCCTCGTCCGCCTCTGTCACCAAATCCACCTCTTGATCCTCCGCGTGCACCACCACGGCCGCCTCTGTCACCGCCGAAACCGCCGCGCGAGCCACCCCTGCCACCACTGCCTCCGCGATCGCCGCCACGTCCTCTGAACGACATGTTGATTCGAGTCTGTGGGTGTGGGTGTTGTCGAATTGCAATGCTTGCGCTGTGCTCGAACTTTGCAATTTTCTCGAAGCTCTTCGGGATCGAACCTTAAAGCTTTATCTCAAAAGAGTGCCTAAGGCCACAATCTGCCAAGAGACGCAACAAATTCGAACTTGTGCGGGACCTCACTTGATCGAAGCCAGCGACGTTGACACGCACATCACTCGACAACACCGCCAAGATGGTATGTATTGCATGTGTTGCATGCTGTCTGCAAGTAGCCTACTACAACGCGCTCTGGAAACTAACAACCACCTCCTCCCCAGGTCCGATACGCAGCCACCCACATCGAACCCGCCAAATCCGCGCGCGCTCGCGGTTCCTACCTCCGTGTCTCGTACAAGAACACGCGCGAGACGGCGCAGGCCATCAACGGTCTCAAGCTCACCCGCGCCCTCACCTACCTCGAGAATGTCAAGAACCACACTCAGGCGATCCCGATGAGGAGATATGCTGGGAGCACTGGCCGTACCGCTCAAGGTACGTAATGCATGCCGCAGTCTGCAGAAATGCGCTGGGTATAGCCACTAGCCATGTGCGAGGATGCATAGAAGGAACATACATGTTGATACTTGGGTCGTGATACAGGCAAAGAATTCGGCGTCAGCAAGGCCCGCTGGCCCGTAAAGTCGGCTGAGTTCCTGCTCAGTCTGCTCAAGAATGCCGAGGCGAACGCGGACACCAAGGGTCTGGACACCAGCAACTTGATCGTTAAGCACATTCAGGTCAACCAGGCACCGAAGCAGCGCAGACGCACATACCGTGCTCACGGTCGCATCAACCCGTACAGTGTGTACACTCGTCCTAAATCGTGGTGGAAGACGTACTAATGACTGCGCGCAGTGTCCAACCCGTCGCACATCGAGCTCATCCTGACCGAGGGCGAGGAGGTTGTTCAGAAGTCACCGGAGGTCGCCGCCCGCGAGTCGGCCAAGCACTTGACCAGCCGCCAGCGTGGACAGAGGACACGCAAGGCCATCACTCAGGGTTGAATGGTAATCGACAATCGAGCATAGAGAACTCCAAACATGCAGAACCGGCGCTTGAGGTTGATGGGAGGGTCGCGTGACATAGCGCAGATGTAACATTGCATGCAATGGCGCTTGCGCACCGCATCCGTCAAATCTATGTAGCCGCTGCGAGTAGCAGCTCCCGCTTCAATGCTGTGCCTCAAATTCATACTCAATGCTCCATTCTATCATGATCATAACTTTCCCTTCCCACTAACGCCTTCGCTCGATGCAGAAGCAGTTGCAGCAGATTTACTCGCAGCTTCATCCGAGCCAGTCGTATTCGCTAAGTCGTTGAAAGCATTCGGGTCTTTCAGAAAGCTCTCGTCTCCCGAGAAGCGCCTGTGTGTCGAAGGTGAGGGTGTAAGCAAATGTGTCGTGATATCGACATGCTCGTCGCTACTCTGGTCGACTAGAGGGACGTCGCTTTGTTGGCGGCTTCTTCCTCTGCATCGAGGCGCGCGATGCGCTGGCGCTCCATGTGAAAGTTCCTTAAAACGGCAAGACTCGTAAGTGGTTCCCATCGACGCGATGACAAGGGGTAGAAGTACAGAAAGCAGACGGAAGTGGAAATGAAACTTACCAGCCACGCTCCTCTCCGTTCTCCAGAAACGAGCAGTCGCCGTTGACCTCCACCTCCCATCCACCGCCTACACCTTTCCCGCCTCGCCACCCAAGGTCCGGTACGTCGTCTGCACGCTTGGGGTCCCAATTCGCAGGAACTCCGCTCTCATCACCCTTCTGCTTCCGCACGAACTTGGTGAAGCTGCAGGTAAAGCACTTGAAGTCCTCCTCACCCTCTTCCTCCGGCATAACACCCGTCAACGCTCGACCAATGCAGATCATACTCGCAGCATGCGTGCAGATGAGCAGACTCTTGGGTCCATTGGGGTCCTTGTCCGCGCGATCGATGAGGTGAGAAAGGCAGTACGCCAGCCGATCATGGAGTTGCGTGATCGTCTCGCCTTTAGTCGATGGAATGATGACCGGATCAGGATCCTGCTTCTCGGCAGAAGCAGGATGGATGTGCGGGAAGTGGGTGCGTAGTACGTCCAGAGACGCAGGAGAAGGGTGATCGAAGCGTGCTTTGCCGTAGAATTCTCCTAGACCTGGCTCTGCGATGACCTTGACGTTGCCTGGGCCTTTCTTCTCTGTGAGAGTGGTGGTGAACGGGAGGAGGGTTTGCAGACATCGGTAGAAGGGCGAGCTGTAGATGAGGTCTACTGGCGGGTCGACTTGGTGCAGATGAGTGGCGAGTTGCTCGGCTTGTTGAACGCCATAGCTTGCGAGTGCTGGGTCGGAGGCGATGCCTGTGGGTGAGCGGATGTTGGAGCTGTATTCGCCGGTCTCGGGGTCGACGACCCAGTTAGAGCGGTACTGGGAGGGAGGTTAGCATTAATGTGAAGTCAACGTGTTGATTGCAAGCATTGAGGAGGTCCGGCGGCAAGAGTCGATTGAGGACGTGCAGTAGCAACGATCACTGATCAGACGACAGCATTGTCTAGTTGTATCGTGCCATGGTTGGCGCTGCTCATTGCCCTCGTACAAGCAAGCGTGCCTTCCTCGTTTGCAAACAAATCTCCAGATCGATGACTTCATCCGCAAGAAATCTGAAGCAGAGCAGCCATTAGGAAAAAACATGACTTACACCGTGCCGCACGACGTATAGCACCTCCAGCATCGTGTTGTATTCTGTTGCTATCAGGTATCAGTGCTGGTTGTTGTTGGCAAAAGTGAAGTTGATGTGTTGATGCAAGCCGAGGCAACAGGTGGACGTTGGAGAAGAAGAAGTGAAATTTGTTTGCCTGCAAGGTGTAAAACGTGCATGCATGTCTTGGATCGAGAGATGCAGGCCAACAGAAGAAGTGAAACTGACACAAACCATAGGAGACAAGAATGGTAGACAATCAATATGCAGCAAGGGTATCTTCATTGCCACATCGCTATCTAACGGCGCGCATCATACGATCTTGACAGCCATAAGGCCATGCAGACAGATCATGCCATGTAATCGCTCCATCGTGCAAACATCTCACTGTGCAACTTTTCATGCTCATGCAATCGTCAAGCTGTCAGGTCGCAGCATGGCCACTCGTCACTCAAACGTGAGGAGTAGTCTACTTGAAAACCTTACCATCCGCCCACTCGTACTTCTTGCCCTCAACCTCAATCGGCTTATCCCACGCCCACATGTCATTCACGAACTCCTTGTCCTCCTCCTTCGTCGGGTCCAACTTCTTGAACTCGTACGAATCGACATCCGGAGCGACCTCGAACGCGGGAAGCGCCTCCTGGCCACGCACAACAAACGCACCGCGGACGATGGAGTCGTCCTTGACGCCGTACACGGAAGCA